CTCACGCAACGTTCCCGTTTCCCGTTCGATCGCAGCTCGATGGACGCCCCGTAGAAGCGGAACAGAAGGGAAAAACCGGCGGAAGAACAAGAAAAATCAGTCGGAAGGAACGAAAGCGATAAACAATCCCGGCGGTCTACGCCGGCGAAGCCAATTCGCGTGGCACTCGGTTTTTACATTTTAATGGAAAAATTAATTTCCTCGTTCCCGGTGCTTCCTTTCGTCCCGCGAGTCCTCCTGCCCGTATCTGCATAGCCCGGCCGGGAAAGTTTTCCAATTTTCGCGGAGAGCGCCGGCTTCGATGCTCCGCCGTCGGATCGGAACCTGTTGTTCGAAGGTCCGAAGATCCCGGGGAAACCCAGTCTATTATGCTCGCCGATATTTAATTACCGCGGCGTCGAATGACCTGTTTCTTTCGGTCCGCAGCGAGGGAGAGCCGGCGAGCGCCGGGGCTTCCCGGGGTCGCGGGGTCGGTCGGGTTACTTTTCATAAAAGCCTCGAACGCCGGCCAAGGAAGTCGAAGTTCGCCCGCGAAGTCGGCGCGGGGCTTCCCCCGACCTGTCGCCGGTTTATTTTCGCGCCGGCAAAGTTCCCTTTGAAAGCATCGCGTCGCCTCGCCTCGCCTCGCGCCGCGCGGGGCGCAACGACCCTCGTTAACTTCGGACGTCCTCATTTACGCCTAATCGACTCGAATCGCCGGGCCAGCCGGGCTGAATTATCGGAGTTAACGCGTGGAGAGGCGTCGCTGTGGTGGCGTTAACGCGCGAAACACGTTTCCAGGCGAATCATCCTGCCCGGGACACCTTTTTTTTAACGATTCCAGCTGGCGCTTCGAACGGCCGCTATCGAATCGATCGTACGGTTAGAGTCGCTTTTATTTCCTCCTCCTCCGCCCCGGATTCCTTCGAGCGAATATTTTATTGATTTAGGATTGCGGAGGTGGGAATGTGCTCTTTTTTTGTTTAGACGCTCGGAGATGCGAGCGTTCTGTTGGTTTAGAGATTCGGGGACACGGGTGTGCTCTTAATTTCGGGATCTGTAAATATTCTGTTGATTGGGAATGGTTTCTCCGTGCGAACCTTCGGAGACGTGGATCATTGATAATACAGAAATCTAGGATTTCCGAGCTTAATCTTGTATAACTTCATATTTAATGGATCAACTAGTAACGACGTTAATATATGAAGCGACCCAAATTTCATAATCTGGAAATGTCATTGAAATACAGCTGAAACGCTCGGATCTTATCAATCGCCAGTGAAATTCTGTTTCGCAACACTTGAACGAATCCTGAGTCATTCACCGGGCAAAATCGCTTTACATCGGTTTTTCACAGGGTGACATTGATTCGTCGTCGATGATTAGACGCGATCGCTCGACGAGTGATCGTAGGTTGATATTAACGAGCATTAGGGGCGGGAGGGTGTAATAGAAACCGCACGGCCGACGAGTTTTCACTCAATCGGAGCGTAGCATGCTTGATTAAACTTGGAGCACTTCCGTACGGCGCGCGGGAACGTCGAGCTACGTGGCTCGCAGCTTTCGAACAAGTTGCCCGTCCTTCACCCGGTTGAACTCTGCCCTTTCGTCGAGCGGTCGCGCCCCCGGCCGAGCCGACGTTCGCCCGGTAATTCGGTTTTTCGCTTTGACCGCGGTACGATCGCCGTACGTTCGATTCGAGACGGATCACCGATGTTCCGGGCAGCCACGGTCGCGATGAACTGATTCTTTCCGCCGGGATAATCGAATCTCGGGGGCACCTAACCTCGTCGTCCCCGGAATCGCCGATGCTTCGCGCGTAACTGCGTCCGCAGATTCGATTGTTTCGGGCAAACGATGATTCCCTGCGAACTACATCGCTGTTCCGACCGCGGCTCACGTTTCGCTTGAACAATGGGATGTTTGTATGCTTCGATTTTAATTGCTGCCGAAAAACTCCGGGAGTTAAGTATCTACGAAATGTTGCACAGTCGCGCTGGAATTCAACCGGCGACTGCGGCCCGCGTTTCGCTTGAACAATGAAATTTTCATGTTTATGTGTCTACCTTAACAATGGGCAACATGTTCTAGGAATTAACCATCCACGAAATTTTATTTAATTCGCGGCTCACGTTTTATTTGAAGAATGAAATGTTCATGTTTGTATGTTTCTATTTTGGTAGGCAAAAGATCCTGGAAATGAACTGCGTGCGAAGTTTTATGAATTTCTGTTGTATACTTCTGTTTATGTTTCTTGTGCAGATGTTTATACATTTCTGACCGAATGGCGAGCAATTTAGTTAAATACGGTATTAAATTCCGTTGTATACTTGGGTTAGAATTTAATTGATTATACAGCTTCTATTTAATTTTGCGATGGTCTAGAGATCTCTGAGTCCATTGAAGTTATTGATATTACCTTTGCTTACTCGGATTTCTCGAAACCGATGAATAGGTTTCCATAAACGACTTCGCTGCATTTTAATCGATCTATGGGCCGGCTGTACAGATCGTGGGCAACGATAAGAACGTTTAATGAGGCAATTTAGAAGATACGGCTTTTTCCGCGGCAACATGTTTCATAACTCGACCTCTCGGACTAATGGCGAACGGATATTAAATTAACGAGTACCGTCTAACGAGGTGATAGATGTACAATAAACCGTAAACGACGAACGGCAGACGGTAACAAGACTATCAGAACTGTTCCTTCAACATCGCCGGTAACTCACTAAAACTCGAATCGATCGATCAAACTAAATGGTTCAATCGCCTAAATGGTTCAATCACCTCGAGCAATACGCATTCAAAACACTATTCCAAATTTCCTCCGAAAACAGATCCCCGTCGCAGGAAAAACATTTCGCGGATAAAACGTTGGCAAACTCTCATTACATCGATACGAATCAAACCCGCACGACGAAGCACGATAATCAATTCGAATGATCAACAAAATATATTCCACATTTTCCGAAACACGCTAAACCGGTGGAAGTTCGAAGTTCCAATTACGTTTCCGCCGGGCAACGCGAAACGCTGAACGCCAGTCGCCGGGGCGCAGCTCGAACTAATACATCGATCATCGAAAAAATATTCATCCCGCAAAAAGCGCCCGAAGCGAAACGGTTAATCGAGCCGCGGTCGAAGCGCGAGTGCAATCCCGATGAAACAGCGACCTAACCGCGAGGTGAACGAAGAGAAGGCGTCCGCGATTAGTGAGCGTCACGCGGGAGAACCGTGCGCCATGAATTCCGCGGCACCGTAACCCCCCCAAAATCCACAACATCTATGCACAACCAGCTATCTAAGCGTTGTCGTTGCCTTTTGCTGGGAAAGACGTGTGGCATGAGCACAACTCGCAGAAGATGATGGCCGGGAACAACACGGTCGCGCTGGTGTCGCCGCTAAAACCGGCGACCTCCTACGACTTTCGGGTGCTTGCGGAAAATCACTTTGGAACATCAGCGCCAAGCGACATCCTTCATGTCAGTATCAAACATATCAGCATGCCTCGAATCAAATCGAAAGTGTACGAATGAAAGAATGAAACGAGACTGTGCCATTCTGTCGCGCGTTCGTTCATCGCCTAGCTGCGCCGGAGCGATTCACCTCGATTGACGGGAGTTTTTCTTTCTATCCCGATCGGTGCGCGCGCTCCGCGAACACCGTAGGCCCAGACCGACGGCGAGATACCCGGTGGACCGCCCAGACACGTCGCCGTGAAGCCCCTGGGACCGCAGCAAGTGAAGGTCACCTGGCAACCACCGGATCGATCCCTCTGGAACGGCGAACTTCTCGGATACACCATCAGCTACGCCAATCTCGGGTATCGTTATCCGTTCACGGCTGTTTAGAATAGTTTCCAGTGCACTCCGGGACCGTAGAATCCGGCGAGGAATCGCCGGATCGTCGATGGGGCTCGAATCTTCGCCGATTATCGCGACAATGGGCCGGCCCGCGCGCCGCGAGCGGAAACGCGGACGGTCGCGGCGCCACGGCGATTATCGTGGCCGCCTTTGTTCCGGCATCCTCGAAACCGATGTCGGAACGGACGCCCGATCGTTTTTCGCGTCTCTGTATCTCAGGGGAGATTCCGCCGGGATTTATTGTGCCGCCGCGCGGCCGAACTGCGCGCGCGGTGGACGGACTCCGTCGCGGTGCTTGATTTGATGAACTCGTTACGGGGGACTCTATTGTCCTTCGACTGGCAGATTGCTCGCGTTGCTCTCTTTTGCGCGCTGCGGTTTCATGTCGGAACTGCGAGAATATTTCACGCATCTTTTCTGTTTCTTTTTTCTATTGTTCCAGTCTCCTTGTTTGTGTCGATAGTCTCCTGCGCCATCGCTGAATCTGATTGTAATTTTCAGCTTCGGACTTTAAACTTCGAGTTTCAACTTAAATTGCAGTTCGAACGCGAGCAACCTGCCGAAGAATCCTCAAAAACAGTCTCCCACTCGCGAACTCCCGAATCGCTACATTATTAATTCCAAAGTTTAAAGCTCCCAGGAAAATCCCAGCAGCCCGATCCCTTCCAATTACCCTGCAACAATTCGACTTCCACGATCCGAGTCCGAAGAGAAGACGGACGCCGAGAGGGAAGATCTCCGAGTCGAGGAACCGATAACTTCTCGAACGGCCGCGACTCGGGGCTAACAAATTCCCCTCCCGGGCACAATGGAAATTAATCGGTCGATTTTAATATTCGTCAGAGCCGGCGGACTCGTGCTCGTCAGTCGGTTCCGTCGAAGTTTCGACGTCGCGTTTCCAGTCGGAATAATCGGATTCCGCGAAGTCCCCCGATCCGGCGGATTCCTTTTTTGATCTTCTGGCTGGTAATTCGGGATGAATCGCGGCCGACTCGTCAGGAACCGGCGGAAACGCGGCGCGACGCCCCGGGATCGGTTGCCTCCACCCCCTTTCTTCGTCCTATC